GTCACTAGAACAAAGAAGAGGTGGGTAGGCGTGGCTACTACTTGCTCATAAAACTAGAAAAAAGCTAAATTTAGCCCCGCCCACTTCTTTTCTCCATTTCACTGTCTTATTTTATTTAGCGCAAAATATATAGAAATTAAAAAATAACGATATTGTAATCCCACTTTTCTGTGAAAATGGAGTGAGATGTTGCTGATTTAATCAATAAAATAAGTCAAATAAGACTCATTCATTAATTTTTTTGAGCCACCTATACCAGGTGTCTGGAAAATAGCGGATTAACTCTCGGCTGTGCTCTTAACAATCAACTGGTTAGTCTGGGAAAAATAGTAACAAAATTCCTTCCCACATTTTGATGGAGTTATAATGATTTTAAAATTGGTTCTTGTGCTAAGTTTAACAGCTAATCAACACATTCATTACCACAATAACTAGTAATAAAACGTTTATTTAATATTTCTCTTGTCCATGATCATGTTTAATTACCATTTCACTTAGAATGTACAAAGATATTGTCTTCGCCATTTCTATTGAAACACCAACTGTTGATTTTGCTTAAAATTTAGCAATTGGTAACAGCTTTCGGTTGACTGGCATCTATGGGTTTTCCAGTATGTACGGCGATATTGGGTGACTCATCGTCGGTAACGGTGGCCGGGCGGCGTTCGCTAAAGAAAAACGGGAAGCGGAAGTCGCGATGGGTATTCGAGAAAGACTTCGATTTGGGAAAACCTAAAAGGGAAGTAGGGATTTAAATAGAGGCCAACTTCGGGAACGAGATTATTCAATCAGCGAGTCGAGTCCAATGAATGAATTCAGTCAAGTTGCGCTGCAATTATTTTGCACATAATCGCTGTGTAATTAGTCGTGTAAATTTAAGTTACTAAGCAATAAATTGTTGAGTTTTACCCACGCCGATTTTAATCACCAATCAACGCAACAATACTTTTCACATTGAAGATTCAGCAAACACATTTTGATCAAAACGTCTCCAAGATACAATTCTTTCATGTCAAAACTTATCACCTTTTTTAATTATACAGTAAAAAATTTGTTTTATTAGGTTAACTGTTAAATATTCGTTAATGTTTGTAATTTTTCTTAAAAAAATGGTTGAAGGCTATTTCGACAGAACTTCCCTCGTCCTTGAAGTACAATTATCGGATCCAGCTCTTTTAAAAAAATTATAAAATTTGATTTTATGATTTTCGTTTTGAAATAAGTTCTGTAAAGTAAAAACCTGCGGCATAAATAACACCTCCACAGACCCTGCGCCGTAAGGACAATGTAAAATATATTTAAAGCACTTAACTAACGGGATAAAATATCCTTCAGCACTAGGTAATTTATATTTATATTTATATAATGAGAAAAAAAAAACATAATAGGCATGCAGTCGTCAGGTTTCCGACAGCGAGGGAAGTACTGTCTAAACTCTTTAGACCAATTTTTAATAATAATAATGTCTTTATTGCCCACCAGTGTAAAATACACCAATTACAGGTACAACTTAAAAGAACAATTGTATGTAAAAAAAGAACTAAATAAAAAGAAAAATAAACTACGAAACGATAGATTAGTGGCTAAACTAATACTAAATTAATACAAAAATTAATGAATACTACTAAATATTACCTACTTTTTCAAAAAAAAAAAATCTTTCAACACATTTTTTAAACGTTGAATATCTCAAATGAAATATGTCAACATCATTACAAACTTCATTATATAAAGATGACATCAGGTATAGCGGCGATCTAACAATCATATTTGTCCTGGGGATATTGTAGGTGAAAGTTGAATGATGTCTGGCATATATTCGTGGGACCAAAAAGTTCAGTTTTTCAAGCATTTGAGGTATATCCAATTGGGAGTGAAGTAATTTATATAATAGAAGTAGAACATTAGTTTGACGCTTTACTAAAACAGGGATAAACTTAAATTCAACTAGGAGAAGATCGTGGTTATATCCTCTTGGGGGATAAACTTTATGAGATTTTAAGAATAAGTATTTTAGGAATTTACGTTGGATGCTTTCAATTATGACATTGTAGGTTTGATATATAGAATACCACACAATAGAAGCATATTCAAGCTTGCTCAAAATAAGTGTTCTGTATAAGGCGACGAGGCAGTCAGTATTATAGAAAGATTTACTATTACGTATAATAAAACCCAGCGTCCGATTACAGGATGAAATAATATTAAAATAATGTTGATCAAATCGAAAAGCCTTATCAAAGTATATACCTAAGTCTTTAACAGTGTTATATCGCGGGAGTATGCTTTGATCTATTTCATAATCATAAGTAATAATCTTGTTTTTTCGAGTAAATGAAATAATTTTGCATTTAGGAAGGCTCAATTTAAATTTATTCCTGATGCACCACTCATAGAGCCTGGTTAAATTTTTTTGAAGAAAGATAGCATCTGCTAATGAGTTAATATTATGAAATATTTTCGCGTCATCTGCAAATAACAAAATTGAACAGTGTATGCTGGAAGGTAGATCATTTATGTATAAATTAAAGAGAAGTGGCCCTAATATAGATCCTTGAGGAACTCCTGAGCTAGCAATAAAAGAATAAGATACAAAGTTGTTATACTGCACAAATTGAGTACGGAGAGTAAGATAGGATCGAAAAAGGTTTAATAATTTACAAGTGAAACCAAAATTTACAAGTTTTTTAAGAAGAATATTGTGGTCAATACGATCAAATGCCTTTGTAAAATCCGTATAGATGACATCGACTTGTGATTGATTTTCCAAACTTTCAGATACAAATTGTGAGAACATTATGAGGTTAGTTGTTGTTGATCTATAATTTAAAAAACCATGCTGATACTTTGATATATAATTTTTCACTTCGGGGTAGATATGGGAATATAGGATTAATTCAAAAATTTTAGCAAAATTAGAAAGCAGGGAGATTGGTCTATAATTTTCAATTTTAGATGCATCACCGGACTTTAAGACAGGACAGATCTTAGATTCTTTCCATTTATTAGGAAAAACTCCTGTTTCAAGGGATTTATTAAAAATTAGTAGGAGTGGCTTAGCAATTTGAAACTTACAGTCCTTAATTATGAAACTTGTAATCTGATCTGAACCTGATGTCATACCTGGTTTCAATCTTGTGATGGCTTTTATTATATCATCTTCCGTGATCTTAAATATACATATTTACAACACATGAGGTAGAATTTACAGTATCAGCTAAATAATATTCATCAAGCGGATCAGATTCAGTATAGGTGGATCTAAAGAAATCACTAAAGGCATTTACTATTTCCATAGGATTTTCAAACTTGTTTATACCAAATGACATTTGGCCTGGAATTCTAGTTTTACCTTTTTTAGCATTAATGTAACCCCAGAATTGCTTAGGATCATGATGTATGTTAATTTGAATGTTGTTAATATACAATTTATAAGCAGTATTTATTTGCTTCTTTAAAAGGGACCTAATTTCTTTAAATTTCAGTAAATAAGAATGTAGACCTGAAGCTCTGTATTTCTTAAGGTATCGGAATTTAAATTTAATATTATTTATTATTTCCCTATTGAACCATGGCGGGTAATGCCGCTTTTTTGACCGAAAGACAGGTACATGTTTACGGAATAAATTGAACAGGATATTATAAAAACAATCAACCATCAGATCTACAGAAGAAAGAGTTGATAATAATGACCAATCAGTTAATAGGATATCATTGTAAAGAGAGATGAAGTCAGCTTTACGAAAGTTAAAGGCACTTATATTATGGTTATCATTACCATGGCGTGGAAAATTAATCGGTTTATCAACTGAGAAGGTGCAAACTAAAGATAGTGCTGGGTGATACTTGTCTTCTATTACCATTGGATTATCAAAGTGGCTAACTTCCCATTGAATATTCGAAAATGCTAAATCTAACAATTTATTATTAGAATTGAAAATATTATTTATTTGATTTAAATTTAAAAAATGTGCAAATGTCTGTAGACGAAGAATTGTTTTATTAGGGATGATGTCATTAAAATTTGGAATATTGAAGTCACCTATTAGAATTATGTTATTAAGACTCACTAACTCTTCCTCAAAGAAATCACAAACAGCATTTAAACCGTCAAAAGACGGAGTACAAGGAAAATATATTACAAAAACCGAGAGAGATTGAAAACCAAGTTTTAATTTACATCCAACAAGATCTATAGATGGATTATTAGTTTGAAAAGCTTGAGTATCGATTTTTTCAACTGAAATGTTACCTTTGACAGCTAATAATACACCACCACCACGAGTTACGTTATTTGTTATCAAATTTCGATCAGACCTGAACACATTGTAAACATCTGTTAAGATAAATTCAGAATTATTTATAGAGTCAATTAACCACGTTTCCGTTAAACAAATTATATCAAAATCAGAATAACTTGAAGAAACCAAAAAATCATCCATTTTGTTTTTGAGGCTACGAACATTTTGGTGGTATAAGTAGAACTTTTTTGCAGAATTGGGCAGGCCTAGTTTAAAGAAGGTTTTTTCTGGATTGTCGGAACACCACGTATGTGAATTTTTTTAAATTCAAATTATTCAAATGCGATTTCGTGCCGTAGTTTTTTTTAGCGCGAAATTTTAATTCAAATTTGGTCACCACAGTAACGTCAGTGAACCATATTGTAAAAATGATTTTGCTTTCTATCAATTATTTCATGTTAATGAAGTGAGAACTCGTATACGTAGAACTCGTTCGTTCTTACATAAACTAAATCCCGTTAACAGAGAAGTTCTGTCGAAATAACCTTCGACCAATTTTTTTCATATTGTGGAAAAAATCTGTTATCATTAAAGCATCGTTACGTGTCATTTTTGCAAAATAAATACAAACCTATTATTTTCTGTCTCTCTTTTTCTCTCTGCGAGCGACAGTTTGCGAAATTTTTAAAACGAGAATAAACAGTGAACTTAGAACCACGGTTAAAAACAACCGTGGTAAAACACAACCCAATCGCAATTTATCAACTTCAAGGTCATTTTTGCTAGTTTAATTTGTAAGGTTAGGTAACTTTTAGATAGGTTACAGGCACTCTTCTATTTTATTAGAAATGTTCAAATATTTGTTAAGATGATAAAGTGTAGTATCCTAAGGTATACTTTGAAAAATTCATACAAGCACCGAGGTTTTACAAGTAACCCATATACAACCAGTGAAATAAATAAATTTTCTTCAATGTGTTCAGCTCAATATTTTAGGATCCCAAAGATAACATCCAATTTTGGTGTAAAATATACATCGAAAAATGCCTGTCGTTATAAATCTTCGGAAAGTGGGCCACCGTCAAGTAAATTACCACCTTTAATGGATTTTCCGAAAATTACATGGCCTTCGTTAGTCAAGTCTGTGAAAAATTTTATACTGGCAACGTTCATAATTCGACCGTATTTTGATAGAGAGTTTAATTTGCCAGATTTCGTTATTGGATCGAAAAAAGCAGTGGAGGTTTGTAAAGTTTAAATGGTATGACTTTATTAAAGTTGTATGGTGGAGTTTACAGTACATTTAACACTGTCGTGCATTTTTTTAAGGTTGTGTCTAAAAAAATAGCTGAAGGTGACACTGTATCATTAACTGGTTTAGTGACAAGTGATATTTTACCGTCTGTGCAAAGATCTACATCACTTATGTCTTTATCGCAGAGAGAGCAAATTGCAGTCAATGTTGATGATATATATTTTAGTTTCCCGTATCAGGTAGGTAAGACAAAAGTGAGAAATACTGGATAATGACATGGTATTTGTTTAGATAGGAGTAATGTTTAATGAAGAGAATGATCAGAAAAGGTTTGTAGAAATTACAATGGTCTTTCACGCTCTCAGGGGTTTATCGTTAATGAGGGCCCGTGGTGAAGAACCACCTCTAAATATGGGCATGCTGCCAGAGTACCAGAGTCGTATATCAGTTTGTAACTATCGTTTTATTAAGGAATTTACTAAAGGAGTCGAAAGTGATTGGACCATTAACTTATTAAATCATTTCAAGCCTGTTGATGAAGTTCAAGAATAAATATTGTGATTGTATTTTTTATGAGCTTATTTTAATATTGCCTCCATTGTAATAAGAAGATTACAGTGCTATTTTTTATTTGTTACTGTTGTTGAAGTAAAAGTAAGAGTAACTAATGGACCCCCCTTCTTCACATTTCGGCCAATTTTTGACATTTTCGAAACTTAACTAAAAACATTTTCTTGTAGATTTCGAGGTCTACAAGACCGTTGAAATATCGAAATTTTTAAAAATTCGCATTTCGTACTGATGATTTCGAAAATGTTGCAGAACTTATGAATTGAACCATAGATTAATGTAGATGCGACATACAGGCTGATTTTGCAAAACCACCCTTATTGGAGTCCTCAAGCGCCAAATTTAAATAGTCGATGCCAATAAAAAAACTGATTCATTGTTTCACTACAACTCGTCGCCTGAGAACTTGTTTGATCTACAGACCAGAGTGCGCTCAGGCCAATATCGACTCTAAGCGTTCAGAAGCGATTTGGTTGGTTTGGACTATAATTTCTGCGGGAAATAGTTGTTTGGTCGGTTTTTGTAACGACTAAGTGAATATTTTTGGTACATATTTAGATGATTTTACATATTTTGTTTAACTAAGAATTAATTCTTTATTTGTGTTTTATACTAGCAAAACGTCTTAAACTAAGAATATTGTTGAAATCGTAATAAACCAATGGATTTTTTTCGGGAAAATGTTTTGGAATCACTTGTTTTTATTGACAATTTTTGCGGTTGTTTTCGATACACTGTGAGAAAAAAAATGAAAAATTAAAATAATCGGAAATTCGAAAAGTCGAGAAATCTAATAATCGAAAAATCGAAACCTTAAAAAATCGTAAAACCGAAACATTGAAAAATCTAAAATTTAAAAACCGAATAACGAAAAATCGAGAAATCGAAACTCCCAAAGTTAAAAAAAATCGGATAACTGAAAAATCGAAAAACCGAGAAATCGAAAAATCAAAAGATCAAGAAATCGTGGAGTCGAAAAGTCGACCGATTGAGAAACCGAAATAGGCCAAAATCGAAAAGTTAAAAATTGAACAATTTATAAATTGAGAAATTGACAATCAAAATATCGAAAAATCCAAATCTCGATAAATCGAGAAATCAAAAAACTTAAAAATTCGAACAATTGAAAAATTGAGAGATTGAAAGATCAAAAGAACGAGAAATCGAAAAGTGATGAAGTCGAAAAATAGAGAAATCGACAAACAAAAAGTTAAAAGTTGAAAAATTGGAAAAGCGGAAAAATCAAAAAACGAAAAAATGGAAAATTGGAAAAACTGAGAAACCGAAATAGGCGAAAATAAAAAATTGAAAAACTGATAAATCGAAAACCTGAACAATCAAATCTCGATAAATCGGGAATGAAAAATTAACAAATCGAAAAATTGAAAAACAACATCTAAAACCAGGAAGTCGAAAAATCGAAAGATTAAGAAATATTGAAAAATTGAAATATCAAAAGATTGAAAAATTTTAAATTTAAAAATCTAAAAATTGAAAAATCGGATAAGTAAAAGGTAGACACATCGAAAAATCCAGAAGTCAAAAACAGAAAAGCCGAAGAATTGGAATTTTGAAAAATCCTAAAACTGAAAAATCGAAAAATCAAAAAAGTGAAGTCGAAAAATAGAAACCTTAAAAAATCGAAAAACTGAAAAATCTAAAACCTGAAAAATCAAACAATTAAAGAATTGAAGAACAGGAAAATCGAAACACTCGAAGGTCAAGAAATAGGAAAATCAAAACATCGATTAATTGAAAAATCGAAAAATTGAGAGTTTATAAAAGTCAAATTTGAAAAATTAAAAAATCGAAAATTTGACAAAATGACAATTGAAAAACAGAAAATCTAAAACCGGGAAGTGGAAAAATCAAGAGATTAAGAAATCGAAACATTTGAAAAATTCGAAAACTTGGAAAAAATTGAAGTATCGAAGAACTGAAATGAAAAATCGATAAATCGAAAAATCTAAAATTTTAGAAATTAAAAAATCGAAAAATTGAAAAATCGAAAAAGTACAAAAATCGACACATCGAAAAATCTAGGAATCAAAAATCGAAATATTGAAAAATTCCAAAACTGAAATATCGAAAATCTGAAAAATGGAAAACCTGAAAAATCCGAAAACTGAAATGTCCAAAAACTGAGAACCTAAAAAGTCGAAAAATTGAGCAATCGAAAAATCCAAAAAGTGAAAACGAAAAATAGAAACCTTCAAAAATCGAAAAATTGAAAAATCAAAAACCTGAAAAATCAAAAAATTAAAGAATTGAAGAACAGGAAAATCGAAACACTCGAAGGTCAAGAAATGGGAAAATCAAAACTGAAATATCGAAAAACTGAAAAATGAAAGAAAAACTGAAAAATGGAAAACCTGAAAAATCCGAAAAATGAAATATTCAAAAACTAAGAACCTAAAAAGCCGAAAAATTGAGTAATCGAAAAATCCAAAAAGTGAAATCGAAAAATAGAAACCTTAAAAAATCGAAAAATTGAAAAATCAAAAAATTAAAGAATTGAAGAACAGGAAAATCGAACCACTCGAAGGTCAAGAAATGGGAAAATCAAAAACATCGATTAATTGAAAAATCGAAAAATTGAAAAGTTTATAAATGTCAACTTTGAAAAATTGAAAAATCGAAAATTTGAAAAAACGACAATTGAAAAACAAAAAATCTAAAACCGGGAAGTCGAAAAATTGATAGATTAAGAAATCAAAACATTTGAAAAATTCGAAAACTTGAAAAACTGAAATATTGAAGAACTGAAATGAAAAATCGAGAAATCGGAAAATCTAAACTTTTAAATATTGAAAAATTTAAGTATCAAAAAACTGAAAAATTTAAAATTTAAAAATCGAAAAATTGAAAAATCGAAAAAGTACAAAAATCGACACATCGAAAAATCCAGGAATCAAAAATCGAAAAGTCGAAGAATCGAAATATTGAAAAATTCCAAAACTGAAATATCGAAAATCTGAAAAATGGAAAACCTGAAAAATCCGAAAACTGAAATATCCAAAAACTGAGAACCTAAGAAGTCGAAAAATCCAAAAAGTGAAATCGAAAAATAGAAACCTTAAAAAATCGAAAAATTGAAAAATCAAAAACCTGCAAAATCATAAGATCGGAAAATTTTTAGTAAAGAGCCAAAAGAAAAGGAGGAAAAATGGAAGGAAACAAAGCAAAGGAAAAAGAATAAAGGATGTAGATAGGGAGATCGGAAAACGGGAAGCTGGTACAAAATTAGGAGAAAAGGCGGTGAAGGTATTGTTTTGGAATGTGCAAGGGTTGCGAAAAAAGGAAAATGAGTTCTGGGACTACGTGGGAAAATTTGATGTGGTGGAGCTAGTAAGTAGAGACATTAGTACAAAGAGAAAACTGTTATAAATTTGAAGAAACACTACCACAAGAATATATGTGGGAGTGTCAAGGGGCGACAAAGGAAAACTAAAAGGGGAGAACAAGCGGGAAATAGTAATGGGAATTCGAAAACAAATGCAAGAATTGGAACAGGGAAGTAATAATAAAAACGGACTAATGAAGAAAGTAATACAGCTGGATAAAAATCGATGGGAAATAATAATCGTTTATAGTAAAAAAATGGAGGAAACCAAGATAAACACAGAAAAGGAAACAAAAGAAAAAGAAGATGAAACAATGCTTATAGGAGGGGATTTTAACGCAAGACTGGGCGATAAGGGGACAAGAATAATAGATAAAGAAAAGGGAGAGAAAAGAGGATCAAAAGACAAAGCAAATAACAAAGAAGGGAAAATATTGTGGAAGATAATAGAAGAAATGGGATGGGAAATTTTGAATGGAAACAAGGAAGGATATGAAGAAGGAGAATGGACGTATGTAGGGGCTAGGGGAGAATAAATTATAGACAATGGGATTGTAAACGAAGAGGCGTGGGAAGAAATAGAGAGTTTCAAAGAGGAGGAAAGGATAGAATCAGACCACATGCCACTAGAAATAAAAATCAAAGCAAAAGAGCAAGAGTACGAAAAAAAAAAGAATTTGGGATGAAGAGGGAATTCAAAGATACAGAAGTAGACTAGAAAAAAAGAAATTCGAAGTAAAAGAAGATATGGAAGCTATGATAGCAGAATTGATCAACTTAATTGAAGAGGCTACGGAAAAAAGAAAGATATACATATGGCAAGGGAAGAATAACGGATGGAAGAGAAAAGCAAAAGAAAAATTAAGAAAATTGCAAATAGAATCGACAAAGAACTTTGTCTTTCGTTTTTCATTGTCCATCTATATTTATTTTTGATAAAATTCAATTTAGAAAAAGCTCTTTCAGCTTCACAACTGGTCACTGGCAGTGTCAAGAAGATCTTAACTACTGTGAACAGATTCGGGAATGTCAATGAGATTTTTTTTTTTAAATGCAGTCGAGTATATCTGAACATGTTACAGTACGTTTCTGAGCTAAGTCAGCAGAAATTTTTAAATATTCCTTAAATTGTAAACATTCATTCTTCAATCCTAATTCGATGTCCTCATTGTAACACTGTAAAACACAGTCAACGCTGTCTTCGTCAATATGTGCTACATGTTTGTTTGTAAGGTCCGTTAAGAATTTGAATTTCTTCCCTAATTCATTATATACATCTTTTCTTCTAGTGAGTTCGGTTATTAAAGTGTCCAACAATCGATTAAGAACTTCCACGAGAAATTTCTCATGACCTTGTAGTGGACTAGTCCCTGTTATGCCGTCCGAATATTTATAAATTTTAATCCTATTCTTCGCATTACTATAATTTTCTTCCACTTTACTACTAAACCCCTTCGCTCGTAATTCATAGTTAATTAATTTCTCATTAGATTTTTCTATAAGAGATTTGATAAATATTTCTAAAGATGTTATTAGTGCAAAGCCTTCGCACAAATCTAATCCAGGTTCTTGTAACTCTTTACAGACTGTGTTAATTCTTTCAAGAAGTTCATCTCAGACGACAGTCAATATAGCGGTTTCGGGTTTGTATAGCTTACCT